TGCAGGTTTTGATTAAACGGTAATATCATTTAGTAATATTATACTTGTTCATGTTTGATTTTTGAAAAGTTGTGGCAATGTCTGAATCTATTTGTTTTTTCCGTATGATTTGAAATTGCTTTTGAGATATGATGAGTTTGATTGAAGGCTCGGTATCGACGTTGTGTTATTGTGTTATTATGTTATTCGCGTTTTAATTTCAATTGAAATTGTGAGTGAAGTGATATTTGTGTAGTTTCGATGAAGGTGATATTGATGTCGTATTTATTCGCGTGGAATCTAACCAAGAAACTATGGGGGCAGTCGGTTTGCTTTTATCGTTGTTTTGAACTTGAATGAAAAAGCATGTCCCATTCTCGAATGAGAAGTTTTATTTGTGATATCAGTTTTTGTTATTCGGTTTGATTCTGAGCAATGAATTTGTGTTGGAAATACTTCTGTTGGCGTTTAATCTCGAATGTGTAATATTGTGTTGTTATGATTGAGTTGTTTCAAAAGAAAAGCTTGTTTTGACTTTGATTCCATCCACTTGGTTTTTAACGCGTTTTCGATGAGATTTTTGGTTCGCTTCTTGTACGAATAGTTGCTTCCCGTAATGGTTTAGTTGTAGAGTTTAAGTTTAAAGTTGTATCATGTGATTGAATCAATATGAAGGAGACATTGATGTTGTTTTGGATACATTTAATTTTGAATTTACATGAGAAATTTAAGTTGTGATGTCTTTGGTTTTCCGATTGCGTTTGAGCACTTTTCGAAAGAAATTCGGAGCACTATTTCGTTCATATAGTTGCTGCCCGGAATTAGGTTTATTGGTTTAAATCTTGATTTTGAATTTAGTTTCGTGTCATTTTGGTTTGAACCAACTCAAATGAATAGTTAATTTAGTTTTGATTGCATTTTGTTTTGAATTCAAATGATGAAATCTTGGTTGCGATAACGATGGTTTTTCGATAATGTTCAATTGATTTAAGTTGAATTTTTGAGCTTTATTTGTTCATGTTCATGGCTGCCCGAATTTGATTTGTTTGATCTTAGCTTGCTTCGAAATCAATTTTCTATGTTTCGATTTTGGATTGAATAATAGTATGAGTTTCTTTGGTTTTAGTTTCATTTGTGAACTGAAATCCTTGAATAATCAATTACTTGGTTCTTGAATTGTTCATGTGCATCATACAAGTTTCATTTCGATTTTATACCTTGTGATTACTAACTTGTTTATGGTTTGTGCAAGTTTTTCAAAAAGGATCAAGACAATACTTCATCTTCCCACCTTTTATCTGCTTTTGATTGATTAATCAAGTTTTGATTTATTTACTTGATTTTGTTATTAAAAATAGAGTAGTTTACTAATCTATTTTTCTTAACTCGATTAATTAAGTTAATCAACTCTTGATTAATCGATTAAACTTTCATTTCATCTTAATGTTACTTTGTTGCTTTTAGTTAATTAACTAAAAATCGAATTAGTTATTTAATTTCGTTATAAAAAATTAATTAGTTTTGGCTAATTAACTTTTCTTAACTTAGTTAATTAACTTAATCAACTTTAATTAATTAATTAAGCATTCATTTCCATATTTTATTTGTTTCATTTTAGCTTTGATACAGGTTTCTAGTCTGCTCGGACTTGATTCTTTATTTCACATGAGATACTTGAATTATTTCTCTGCTATCTTGTTTGTCTGTTTGTTGGAGATTTTATCTGATGCAGAGACCCTTATCTAATATCTTGATGATACTTTGAGCTTTATCTGACACCCTAAGCTTACTTGGTGCATTTTCTCGACTTGTGATTTATTTTCATTTGATGCGCTTTATCTGTTGCTTTGAGTATCATCTGATGGCTTGGGTTTCTTTGGTGTTGTCTGCCTGTGATTTATTTTTACCTGAGGTTTGATATACTCTTGGCTTATTTATCTTCTTATGGATTTAATCCAAAGGAATGGGAATATTGTATTTACTTTATTATGTTAAGTATCGGCTCTTGTTTGGTAAGATGTTCCTTACCTTATCTTTTACCTTCCTGTACATAGGATTCTCTCTTCATCTCCTCCCCTTCTTCTTCAATTTTCAAAACCTTCTCATCTTTTTCAAAACCTTCTTGTTTTCTAACTTTAACCACTTTCATAATAAACCTCGACTATGTCGAGTGACTTTTCAAACTTCTTTTTCTTTATCAAATCTTAAAAACACTTAATAAATGTGGTATGTATAAATACACCATGAGCCTTAAGAACATATAGAGTACTTGGTATACGAGGTGTCTGACTCAACCATTCAAAAATCTGTCATTTCATAGACTTTTTAGTATTGTACTTATCTCAAACACTTTCAAAAATACAAACATTCAATCTCACTCAAACATTTTTGTACGCTCGAGCACCTTTTATCCTTTAAAATTTTTTCCAATATTAGACATGATTCATTTATAGTCGAGATATTATCCTCCTATCCCCATGGTTATAAAGCTGTCGACTTTTCCACTTGAGTATCAGAGGCATTTCCAAATCCTTCTCATGTTGACGCATGGTCCATCTTTCTCACACCTTATGGGCGATTAGTTGATATTTCTCTCCTAAAAATGACGACTTGTCTCTTTATTTAAAAAAAAACAACCAACACACAGTTTTGTTCTTTTTGAGAAGAACTATGAGTGCCCTGATCCCTTATTGCACGAAGAGGATACGTAGGCACAAAGGTTCGCAACAGCAGTGGACGCAATAATAAAAAACAGTTTCTTTTGTTTCTTTAGTAACTCTTTCATTCATTCTCTTTAGCAAGTAAGCCTTTAGATAACACACTCTTTGATAAGAACAAACAAAGTGGATCCTACAGAGTACCGTAGATGCTTAGGATGCTAATATCTTTCTTTTGCATAACCTACCCCCGTACCTTGATCTCTGATCTTTTATTTTATTTTGGGTTTTATTCGTTTTTTTCCCATTTTCCCTTTGGAAACAATAAAGTGCGGTGGCGACTTTATTGTGTGAGTTAATTCAATTAATGGCTTAGTCTCAAATTTTACCGCTATATTTCACATATACAGTGCGACAGTTTGGTGACTTCATTGTGTGAGTTAAGTCAATTAATGACTTAATATCAAACCTTTACCGCTACATTTGTGCATATACAGTGCGACAATACTCCTGAACCACTCTAACTCGTCTATTAGGTAGGGGATATTTCATGCTCAATTGAAAGATGGACAAGACCGCCCCTAATAAGTTGAGGGTGGGTTATCCTATAATAATGATGTGTCAGGGGACAATGCATCTACAATAAGATGTTTTAATTTGATTGTTCTTGCGCTTGCCTCTGAGCCATTGTTTCGAGCTTTATGTGACCTTTCACTTATACATGTTCGCATAACACACCAATCAGAGAATCTTGGAATGCTCGAATGTCGTATGGGTCAAGATAAATCCCCTGAAAGACGCTATGAAATAAGACATTTGTTGGGGTTCCAGGGCCAATGAATACTCACTTCATATCTCAGTCATCATATAACACCATGATGACCATGAGATCATTGTTTTGAGGGAGAATGTCGGCATGATCTTTGCTGGAGAAGGTGATTTTGGACTCTAGCTCTTTCTCCAAGGTTTCCTTGGTGTTGGCAGGTATAATGCTTGTCGTCAAAACCTGCCTGGCATATTTTCTGCGAGAAGAGTTGGCTTCTCGCTCGCCGACGAAACCTATGGCAATGGTGTTGATACTAATCTTAAAACTTTGTTTTTGCATCCTCTAGGGAAATATGACAAAAATGAGTGATGATTGATGATGAGTGTGACTCAAGTTAGTTTTACCGGAGTGCAAGATAGGCGCTAATTATATTTGCCAAAAATACAATGCATGACAACCCCTTGTGTTGTAGGATTTCCAAAGGTTTTTAAGATTGTTGTGATGTTAGAGAAAACTCAAGCAACGATGAGAAACGGAAACACTATATATTGTACTTTCAAAATGAATTGAATATCTCCCTTAACGTTAGAGTTTGAGTATTTATTGCAGTCTCTTGGACCTATACTAGTACACCTTCTATTTAAATTTTCAAATAGTATTATGCGTCCTCTTACACTTCATCAACTCTTAGAAAAGCTTTGAATTAACATGACTAACATCCATAAGACTATTAGTTTTTGTCTTTGAATAATACAGTTAACTCTTGAATAAAGAGAAGATATGTGAGTTTAAATTGTGCCGCTCAAAAATTTCTTCATCAAGTGAATGTTCTTCTCTTTTAGACCCAACACCAATCATCTGTCCTTAACCTTCCTTATTTTTTCACCAATGTTACGACCATGATTTTTATGTCACTCCTTCAAACATACATTTACAATTTTATTTATTTTTTCCTATAAAACATACTCATCTCATCCTGACACATAAACATTCCTCCACTTGTCTTTAACAATATATTTATATAAACTACACTTCTAGCTTTAATAATACGAGGTGCCAGTGTATCTTTGTTCAACCCACTGTAAAAATTATTCTTTTGTACTAAAAAAAACAATTTTTTAGCTGGAAAAAGATTAATGTCATTAGAAGGATAGGAAGACAATGTATGATAAAATAAGTGACATGACAAGAGTCATTAAGAGGCAAAGAATATAACTTTTCTGTAAGAACAAACAACTACAAAAATCAATAAGGTATTAATACCAGGATTAAAAAACAGTAAGAAATGTTATGCAAGTAAGAATCAGGATCTAGCTAGCATATTTCATCTTGCCTTGAATTTGAAGCATGAATCTTATTATCTTTACAACCCTTCATAGCCCTTTTGATCTAGCAGCCTTAACAAGTAAAGAACTAAACCTTTTTTTATGTTTTCCATCACTTCTATACATGTATATATAGGCCATAAGAGCTCTCATTTACACAAACCATTTGTATTCTAATCCAGTGCTTAAGATTTTCCTTCAGAACTTTTTGTCTTTCTGAAATTTCCTTTTCCAACCTGCTTTTTCTTTGGCTAAAAACCATACAACAGAGAGATGGCAAATGAGCAAATGAAGCCTGTTGCAACTCTTCTTTTGGCGCTGAATTTTTGCATGTATGTTATAGTTTTGGGCATTGGTGGATGGGCCATGAATAGAGCAATAGATCATGGTTTTATCATAGGTGAGACTTTCTCTGGGAACGCATTGCGGTCATCCTCTACTCGAGTGATTATTCTATGAAAATGTTTACTTTATAGTTTGATGTGAAAAATTATGTAATATGCAGGTCCAGGGTTTGATCTTCCAGCTCATTTTTCACCCATATACTTCCCTATGGGAAATGCTGCCACTGGATTCTTTGTTACATTTGCTTTAATTGCGGGAGTTGTTGGGGTTGGATCATTGATTTCAGGTCTCAATCATATCCGTTCATGGACTTCAGAAAGCTTGCCATCTGCAGCATCAGTTGCTTCCATTGCATGGGCTCTTACAGTTCTTGCCATGGGGTAACCTCTTCTTCTTGACATCATTACATTGATGATATCATCAAGGTTTTAAATCGGCATGATGTAACTTATCTAACAAGTAAAATGGAATATGATTTGTGCAGTTTTGGTTGCAAAGAGATTCAGCTGAACGTCAGAAATTCTCGTCTGGTATGACAGGAAAATTCTATATACTGTCCTTTTTTAATGTTTGATAGAATGTTACCTTAACAAGATGTTTGAATTGTTCAAATTTGCAGAAAACAATGGAAGCTTTTCTGATTATTCTTTCAGCTACACAGCTTTTCTATATAGCAGCTATTCATGGTGCTGCTGGAATAAGGAGATAAAACTTGAATAATATGATTGAAGTGTTTGTGTGATTTTTTATTTTTGTTGTTGGTTTTCTTACCTGCTTGAATTATTCATTTATTTATTTTGGTGTGGTATATTACATGATTGGATTTGTATTGATTAAGAATAAATTGTGTATAAAATATTTTAAAGATTGATATCATCTGTATGATTTTTATTTCTTTTGTTTTCTACATTGTTCAATGTCCCACCACCAACGGTGCCATTAGAGATAAGCTGAAAGTTAGACCATTATTCATACACCTGCATTTACTTGTCTTTCTAAAACATGCAAAATAGAATACAAGTGCTCTTTTTTGCTTACAAGACCATATGGGGAAACTAATTTGCCTTTGAGTTTTAGATCTTTTTATTTTATTATGGGAGAAAGAGAAACTATCTCCAATCCTAACATAACTTTAATGGTAATAATTTGTAAACTTTGAGTTTTAGATCTTTTTATTTTATTATGGGAGAAAGAGAAACTATCTCCAATCCTAACATAACTTTAATGGTAATAATTTGTAAACAAATCTCAACAATCAACATAGTATAACTATACACCTTGAGATATATTTTACAATTTCTTAATATTTTCTTCCTTTTTTTTTCTTCTTTCCGTGTTACATATACACACCTCATTCTATTAATTATATTAGTTTTTTTTATACAAGATGGTATACGCCCAAGAAAAACAAAACTAAAAACTAATTATACGAGGATGAGAAATTCCTATAAGATCCGAAAGAAAAACTAAACTTAGTTTTGGAGAACAAAGATCATTCGGATGAAAATCTAGTCAATGTTTCAATCTCATGTTCGCTAGCATATATGGACACTTATTTGATTTTCGGTATATATGACTAACATGAACCTCTCAGTCACAATCAAGCAAAGCTTTAATTCTTTAAAGAAGTCATTAACTAGTTTTCATTTTGATTAATGATGTATTGAGAGTTGTGCACTTCGATGCTATCAATATGAAGCTCCACTTTTTATGCCCTTTGTCATACACCTGCATCAAGTCTTTAAAAACTCTCCAAAGTTTCGCAACCCCTGCTTTGCAAATGACTATATGCTTTGAGAAAACACTTATCCATGCTTCATTGTCATCTCCAATCAAACCTCCACAACATGTTTCTTCTTCTCCTTTCACCGCTCCATTTGTATTGAGACTAATCCACTCATTTTCTGGTGGTGACCACTTAATATGGTCATAGAGTTCGGTTCTGCAGCTACTACCCACTTAGGGTTTCACCATTGGACAAAAAGATAAAAATTTAAACTAAGAAAATAAAAGATAGATCTGAATATGTTTATCTCATTTCAACTCCAACTTACAATATAAATACTAGGTTAAAACCTAGACTTGAGGCTGTTGGGCATAAGTCAAAATAAAAGAAATAAAATAGATGGACCTAAGCCACTTAGAGGTAAAAAACAGAAAAATAATAGTAATAAAGCTAATAAGAGATATGATCCTTCATCCAAAAGGACTTCTTTAAAATTATATTGGACCTTCTATCACTACTAGGGGAATTTGATGGCCAAGTGGGCGGGATGGAGGTAGGCCTTTAGGTTATTGAAAAACGGTTGAATGGGATTGTAGGATGGATTGTATTTCTGGGCTTAAGGTTTGTGAGATTGACTCAATTTCATTAGTGTGTTGGGTTTTGGAAGTATGAGGCTTATCTTGGATGGGTTGGTACAGTAAGAGGTGCATGGAGGCAATAGAATCAGTGTGAAGTAGGTGGCATAGTTGGTTGTAGGTAGAGTGGGTTGGGGTTGTTTTTGGGTCACCGGTGATAGTAACCTCTTTCTGGTTATGTGTGAATGAGATTTTTGGAATAGAGAAATCGGCCATGAGAGGTCCTAGAGTTCGCAACCATTTCATTCCTAAGATGACAGTCGCCCCTTCAATAGGCAGTAAATAGAAAGGAATGAAAAATAAGTGATTTTGTAAAGTGATGGGTACTTGAGGACATAAACCATAGCAATTTGATTGGGATCCATTTCCAACCATAACAGAAAAATGTAGGGATAGGCTTGGTGTATATTTTGAGGTGGTGTGCAATCCGAGGTTGGAGAATGTTGTGGGTACTGCATGTATCAATTAGAACAATGACATTTAAGCCATGTAATATGCCTTTGAATTTTAATGTCTTTGGATAGAATTGTCCACTAACTGCTTGGGGTGAGAGTTGAAAGTAAGTTTCTTCAGAATTGTAGTCCCCTTCAATTGTTTCATTAAGTTCGACTGTCCCATCATTTTCAATAGGAATGTCATCATCAACGATGAGTAAAAGGAACTTTTCACAATCAAAACAGTGGCTTGGAATGATTATTTCATCGCAATTAAAACATAAACCTTTAGCTTTGCGCTCTTCTCGTTGGGCAGCAGTAATTCTGCTAATGGGAAAACGGTTGGCGGAAGTGTTTACGTTGGTGGTATTATGGGTTGAAGGGTAGTTGAAGTGGTCATATTTGGGATGGAGGGTTTATTAGATGTGTTAGGTGGGTTATAGAACGAGGTTGGGTAATGTGTGGGTTGTTTGGTGAATCTGGGTTTGGAATCCTTGAGTTTGGACTCAATCAATTTTGTAAGGCCCACTGCCTGGGAGATAGAGTACGGTTGGTGGATAGTGATTTCATTCCGAATTTTTGGAATTAATCCCGAGATAAAACAATTAAGCATTGCTTCTGGTGGTAAACCCAGCACCCTATTGCCTAATTTCTCAAAATTTGTTTGATATTCTGCCACTGAACCATGTTGTGTAAGTTTATAGAGTTGGGCTTGATGGTTTTCATAGGTTGATGGACCAAAACGCAATTCGAGTGCTCTAGCGAAAGTGTTCCATCCTGTTAATTGTTGGTTTTGGAACATCCGCTTATACCAGCTTAGGGCTTCTCCCCTCAGGTAAAAAAACAGCCATAGAATGTCTGTTTTCAATTGGAGTGTTATAAAAACCGAAAAATTGTTCCAATTGGAACAACCACTCTAATGCATTTGTAGCGTTAAACACTCTCAGCTCAATTTTTAGGTTTCTCGCAGCATGTTAAGGTAATTATTTTGATGCAAAAAAGAGGGTCAAATGGATTTGTTGGGGAATTTGGGTTTGAAATGGGGTGGTTTGGTAAGTTGTAAAAGCTGAATGGGAAGAATGTATAGGTTATGGTTGAGCAAATGAGAGAGGGGATGTGGTGGTGGTGTATAAAGTTGAGCATAGGATGAGGAATGATGGTTAAGGGTTTGTAAGGGAACATGTAATATTGTAAAAGAGGTGATAATAACAACATTTTTAGAACTGGTTGGGGTTAAAAGAGAGCTGGATATACTTGAAGTTATAGATCTGGGTTGTGGTGCAGCAGCTACCATGGCTGCAAACTGTTGACTCAACTGTTAAGTCATGAGAGAGCTGAGATCTGAAAAATTGGCCTTTATACAGTTATCATTGCTTGTGTCATTCCACATACAAAAATCTTCCCCGTGATCAACACTAGGGGATGGATGGATGGCACTCATAATTGTTAGAATATGAATCAGACTTCTGTATACTTTAACTTCTTGTATATTGCTCTTAATAAATGAATTACATACTTGGTCTTTTATAGACCCAAACAAACTCTTACAATTCTAAAACATAAAATTAAAACATAACTGCTACTATCATAACTACTAAAAACTATTTCCTTTCCTACTACCATACTTAATACAAATCATTTATTTCTAACACATTTAATGTTTATTTCAACAAAACTCCTCTTTAAACATTAAATGTTTCTTCGATCCAGTATCTGTTTACCTTGGGATTTGGTAAACAACCGCTGATCCTCCAAATGGTTACTTATTTGGTTACTCGCAGGATCGATCAGATTGATCCTATGGACATAGGTTGATTTTGAAGTTTAATTAATGTGGATAAGGCTTTAAGTAAATTGTTTAAAGTAAATTGCATAAAGGAAAAGGGCTTGGTAAAAACAAGGCTTGAATGTAAAGGTTCGACAGGAATCTTAAAGGAAAAGCATGTAAAATACTGGAAAAGTAAATGACTTGAATTGATTAAATTGGTGTTTCACACATACATTTCTCAACAATTCGTTCGCTCACACTGGGTACTTGAATCTAAATGAGTGACTATGTATCTATTGTGAACACACGCGAGAAACTACACTTCTACTCCTATTTATACAAAAACATTCCAAGTAACCGTCGGGCAGTTACACTGCTTCGAGATCAAGCCACTTGTCACGTTCTCCATGCTCGACGCTCCAGATCCTTGCACGTTCGCACGTAGTAACTGCTGGAAACCGTTTTCCCTCCAAAGCTTTGAATTTCAAACTGCTCCACTCTGGACCATCGAACACGTTCGTCAAGAGACGTCTTCGACGAAAACTCCTTCGACGTCGAAGGCAATCAGCCTTCTCCCTTGGAAGAAATCTTCTAAGTATTTTGCCATCTTTCGACGGGCACTTCGACAGGCTTAGCCAGTCGAAAGCATCTTTCAGCTTTTAATGGCTGTTATCATTCAAAACAAAGGTGTCGAATTTAGGAGCCAACAAATTGCCCCCCAAGAATGCCTTATTTCGACTCTGAAAGAAAAAGGCATTCTTTGAAAACGCCATTCGACACCTATTTTTCCACGCTTAGTCACAAGTTAACTTGTGCACTTTTTGTTGCTTTTTACCAACTATTGGCAATCCCAAGAAACCATCATTGATTTGATCCTAGGACGTCACTGTCAGTACGGCGTGCAGAACCAAAACATCACTTCATAATTTGTCATTATGACAAATTCAAAAAACGAGGACGCACGCTGCGTCTCTCTGTTTCTGCAGAAACGGCCAAAACAACAGGATGCTGCCACGCGTCCCACTACTTCCTGCAGCATTAAATGACATTTAATGCCCTCGTTATTGGGAACTTCTCCCACTACTATAAATAGTAGTGAATATCCCATTGTGGGACTTTTCACGCAAACCATCTCTCAAACTTCCT